CATCTTATATTTTTTACATTGTATTAAGATGATTACTATTTCTTCTAAGAAGACTTAATAGAGTGTTGGATCATGTAAATTAATTTTTTGTTCTATAGCTTCAAGATTATATACTCTTCTTTCATTATCGATTTAAATTCTCTGTTTAACCATTCTGGTACTCGTCTGGTTTGATTTTTTACCTGTTTGTTACGTATGGGCACAGAAACTTTTTTTTCTTTTGCTTGATCTCCTATCAGTTTATAATAGAATTCCAACTTTGCGATTTTGATCAACAACCTAGGATAATCTGCATAAAGATGCAGTTTGAACTGATATTGACTATATTTTAACGAAAGATCGATCACAAACTAATCTTTGTCTTGAGCATTATCAATCTCCTTCATGATCTTTTCATACTTCTTTACTACCTTATTATTATCTTTTAACTTGTAAAAATAACATGCTTGAAGTATCTAAATTAAAACCATTGTGAATTTTGCATGTAAAAAATCATCATTAATTGAAATATGTTTCTGAAAACGGCATTTGTTTTGTTCAAGATAGTCCCATGTTGCATCTTTTTTTACCATATTTGCCGTTACTTTAAAAATAAAATATTAGTATATATTTATAATAAATATACAATGAACACAGCCAAATTCCTTGTTCTTACGTTGTAGCGAACGCGTCATTCTTCGACCCCGCAACGGGCTGTCATGTCCGTTTAAAAAAAAAGTGGTTAGTGCGGCTTGCGCCATATTGGTAATTGATAATATGTAAAAATGCCCTGCTAATCAGACCATTTTAAAATATTATACAAATTCTAGTAAATATATACTTTTCTAAAAAATTGTGTGATTAAGAAAACCGGTTTGAAAGAAACTAAAAATAAACAGATTAAACGCATAAAGAACCAATCAGAATTATGATGACAAAGAAGATTTGTAAGATTTGCAAAAGAAAAAGTTTATTTAACGGCAAGAATTTTGACAGAGAAAACTCCAATTCACTCTTGAATTTTAAAAATACAACCACAACACACAACATGAAATTCTTTAAAAGACTCTTAAAACTCTTTAAGAAAAACTCCAAACAACAAGATAACTGGAACGATATTTGTGTCAAGGTTGAGTCTTGGTCATCAAGTTCAACCGGCGATAAAGAAGAATCTTTTGAAAACCCTTTACTACAAGTTGAATTTGAAAGTCAATTCTCTATAATTGATTTGAAATTTTATACAAGATACGAAGAATATGTTGATGATGTGAGGAGAGAAACCCCTGAAAAGTATGAGAAATTCAAGATGTACTTTTCATTCTTGAACGCACATATACGTAGTTACCATAATCTGTTTCACGATGCAATATGGTACTACAGTAAAGCAAGTGTATTTGACTTATTGCTGTGGAGAAGAAAGCAATATGAGGAGGATTTTGAGTACACGATAGAAGTTTTGAATAAAAATTTTAGTTATATCTACCTGTTGGATTATAATGATTTGTTGGATTATGCTGAAAATAATTTAGTATTTTAAATATAATTTTTGTAAATAATTTATTTATATTTATTTTTTTTTTGTAAATAAACGTATAATTGTATATAAAGTTTCTGGTATATTCTATAATTATGTTTGTATAAATCTAAAATTGGTAATCTGATTGTATGCATGTGATTTTAGTATAATTTCTTTTTGTAGATAATTATCAAGTCTACAATTAGTAGTTTTTATTGTATGGTTGACATAATACAAATACTCCTTGAAATGCCCAATTTCACGATTTCTCACCTTTTCGTTCTTTCCTATGATTGCATGTTAAGACTGGAGAATACATGATACTTTTAGTATTCACGCAGTATCAAACACATCAGATATCTAGTTCTTTCACAAGAATTTAGAGAAGTTTACTCATCTTTTCACGTCTTCATTGGAAAGAGGAACTGGTCATTTTTTATCGCTTCAGATAGTCATTATTAAGTTTTGGCCATGCTTTCCACCTCGAGAGCAAACGAAAAACTTAGTGTTGCAATCAAATGCACCTTGAAAAATGTTTCAAGGAACAGATATGTTTAAACTTTTTTCTACCATAGATGAGTAAAAAGTCCTTCTCAAATGTTAGTCATCTCGAGGCATACTACATGGTTTTACCGGTTAAAACCTCAGGCTTATAACACTGAGATGCGACTCGGTACACTGTTTTAGGCTTTTGGCAGCTGTACCTGAATTACAAAAGTCAAACTTTTTTCAATACTGCGATAAGGTATCGGCTTACTATATAGGCTTAGTGTCTCTAGCCATTTCCTCACTTTTAAAGGCAGTACGAGTTGTTTCTGAGTCGACTTTGTGTTGCGAGGAACAACTTAACATGCAAGACGAGAAATACCTCTATGTGGTTTGCATGACAAGTAGTATGTTTATTTGACATGCGAAACTAAATTTTCTCAACTAATAAAAAAATTTCTTTAAAATGTTTAAATTTTCCTATGATTTTGATATTTGTAACCTATTTTCCTTGATTTGTAAGATATTTTCCATTATATATATGTTGGTTAAATAAAAAAAAAATAACCAAGTTAAAATGAATTCAACCAAAACAAAATGTACGAGTTGTACTAAATGTAGAGAGCTTAGAATTAAATGCGTAAAGGTTAAAAAGAATGAACGTTGTCAATAATGTATCAAGAAGAATTTGGATTGTTTATTTTTCAAACCTCAACATATGAAAGATGAAATAATAAGATTGACAAAGTTAGTAAAACAATACAAAGAACATGTTCTTGAACTAGAAAAAAGAAACTTTCAACTTGAAAAGAATAAAAAGTTAATCAAAGAAATACTATATGACTATTCTGATAAACAGACAGAATTGAAAAAGATTTGCAAGAATAAGTTATAAAAACAGGATAAA